TTCATGGAGGGTGAATAAGTCTTGCTGAAGGTTTCACCCATGAAAGTGGTGATGCGTTTTGGTAAAAGGGGTAAATTAAGCCCAAGGTATATTGGTCCCTTTGAAGTACTTAAGCGAGTAGGGGAGGTGGCTTATGAGTTAGCCTTGCCTCCAGGGTTGTCCGGAGTGCATCCGGTATTTCATGTGTCTATGTTGAAAAGATATCATGGGGATGGAAACTACATCATTCGTTGGGATTCAGTTCTGCTTGATGAAAATTTATCTTATGAGGAGGAGCCTGTTGCCATTTTAGATAGAGAAGTTCGCAAGCTGAGGTCAAGGGAGATTGCATCCATCAAAGTTCAATGGAAGAATCGGCCCGTTGAAGAAGCCACTTGGGAGAAAGAGGCTGATATGCAAGAAAGATACCCACACCTGTTTATAGATTCAGGAACTTCTTTTCGCCCTTGTTTTTCTTCTTATGATCGTTCGAGGACGAACGATGAGTAAATTGGTATCTATTGTAACGACCTGTTTAGTCATTTTGAGCAATAGATGTTATTTCAGGAAAACTGGCTGAGACGACGGATCCCACGATGGACCGTCATGGGCACGACGGACCGTCGAGGGGGTCACGTTTCAAAACACTTAGAAATTCTAAAAAATGGGTACTGAAATCAACTCTCTGAACGTCACAAGCGTGACGGACCGTCACAGACTCTTTAAGGGAATTGAGTCTCTGAACTCTGTGACGGAGTAGCATGACGGACCGTCGGAGGCGTGATGGGCCGTCACAGGCTGTGTAATCCTAGGCTGAGTCGAATTTCTTTAATGTTTTAAGGGACGTTTTTGACTATTCCTGCTTTAATTATAAAGTTAGTGGGCTAATGTTAATAAGTCTAATTACTTGGGGGTTAAAAGAGGTAACCTTGAGTAAATTAGTGGGCTATTATTGCCATCTTTTATTCTTAATTATATGCTAATTAGGGTAAAAGGAAGAGGGTTTGAATAAAGAAAATAGAAAGAACAAAGAGAGAGAGAGGATCGAATGAGAAGAGGAAAACACAAAGCTTTGGGGAATTTGCTTGCTTGATCACTAATCTTCGGTGGAGGTAGGTTATGGTTTATGTTATTTGTAGTAAACTCTAAATAGTGAATGATATGTATTGGGTACTGTTGTAACCCTTCTATATGCTTAATTGTATGCTTGCATGAATATGATTATATAATTGTGATAAAATAAGCATGATGAAGCCATTGAATCCTAAATCTTGAAAACCCTAATCTACTTGTTAATGATGATGCCTTGGTAGAAAAGAAGGCTTGATGAACATGTAGTGAGATTAGGGGATCGGGTGTCACGTTCCGGTACCAGGATAGTATATAAGGATTGGAGTGTCATGTTCCGACACCAGGATAGTATATGAGGATCGGAGTGTCATGTTCCGACACAAGAATAGTATATGAGGATCAAAGTGTCACGTTCCGACACCAGGATAGTTTATGGATCGGGTGCCACGTTCCGGTACCAGGATAGTATATGAGGATCGGAGTGTCACGTTCCGACACCAGGATAATATATGAGGATCGAAGTGTCACGTTCCGACACCAGGATAGTTTATGGATCGGTGCCACGTTCCGGTACCAGGATAGTATAGGAGGATTGGAGTGTCACGTACCGACACGAGAGGGATAAAGATAATGAATCTTGAAAGATGTTAATATACTCAATTTAATGAACCTAATTCCCAAATGAGTATGATGGGGAGGCGAGAGTCCTCATTGATGTGCTTGGTGTTGTGACCAACGGTTATGGTAATTGTAAATGCCGCATGTTGAGTATTGTAGTTGATTTTATGATATTATTTGATATATACTGTTTTCTATTTTGAGTTGGCCGATGATATCTACTCAGTACTCGTGTTTGTACTGACCCCTACTTGTATGTTTCTTTCTTTGTTAATTGTGGAGTACAGCAAACATACCGTCGTCTTCAACTCAACCGCAAGTCTAGCCGTCTTCATTACACCGGATTTCAAGGTGAGCTAACGCTTCTAGCTTGGACTGGATCTTCTTCTTCATGTCTTGATGCCTTGAAGTTCCGATATGGACTAGCTTTATATTATTTTAGCTTTCTAGATACTCTTAGAATTAGTAATTCAAGAATAGATGTTCTTGTGATGATGACTTCCAGATTTTGGGTATAATAATAGTTGTTGAGTTTTTAGAAGTTATTGAATTGGTTTTTATTAATGAGTTTAAGTCTTCCGCATTACTTTCTGTTGATATTATATTGAAATGTTAAAGTTTAGATTGGTTGGTTCGCTCACATAGGAGGGTAAGTGTGGGTGCCAGTCGCGACCCGATTTGGGTCGTGACAACAACCAGATCAACAAAAGATCAACTTTATATTAAAGGCTTGATAAGAATACAATCTAGATAATTGCTTCTCAAATATATTAAAACATGTTGACATCACATTTTTTGTGAAAGAATAAATCTTATTTTATCTAAAGAATTCAAGTAGTTATAATTAAATTACTCAACCGGGTAGAAGTAATAGAAATCCCCCAATTCACTTGGAGAAGTGAGCTTTGAAAAAATTTAAATCTAGAAAATAGGTTATTTCACATTTAACTGATAAAACACAAAAGAACCCTACATTCCAAATCCAAAATCTTTAACATAAACACAAGAACAAGCTGATTTTTTTAAAAAAAATTACACATTGTTGACAATCTTTTGACGGGTATTGAGAAGACGTTCAGTCCGCCAATCACAAGAATCCCTATATCCGGCAACAGCTCCACCTCCCTGAGCTTGAGTAGTCGTCTATTTTGTACCATCCATATCAACTTCTGACGTAATCAAATTTGTTTCTTCACAATCGAATTATAAATAAGTAAAGCATGTTACTAAATTTAAAAAGAGAGCTACAAAATTAGAGATAGATTACAAGAGTTTAATATGTGTACAATGGGCTTAACCTTAAGGGCAGGGTCGTCTCAACCATAAATCCAAAAAAGCAATCGTTGGGGCCCAAATTATTTTGGGCCACTCATACATACATACATATATATATTTAAAGAAAATTTCATACATTGATAAATATGTAAAGATTATTTTGTATAGAAAATATAATTGTTCAATTGAATATTGTTTATTTGATTTTAGTATATTTTTTTACATTCTTATGTGTCTAGTTAATTGTAGTATCCTTTCTAGTTTATCATATGACTATCTCTTTTGTTGTCTAGCTCATTTATATTCTGTCATTTATCATGAACCAATCATATTTTGTTCTTATACTTACTTTTCTTTATTCTCTTGTTATTATTTTTTATTCTTTCATTATTGAATATTCTAAAGTCTGAATATTCTAAAGTCTGATCTCAAACATTAAAACCTTATGTAAAATCTATTGTTGTATGTTTATAAAAAGATAAATTTGTTTTTGGTGTCTTATTTAAATTTCAAGCACCAACACTAATCAAGACCATTATAAATATATGATATATACATATCAAATTCAATACTACACTATTTTAATATCATCATATTATTAAAAAAAATCGAGTCATGTTTTATTATTCTAACTTTATATTATATAATTTTTATTGAAAATACATTTACATTGTTTACATTCTTAATTTATAATTCTAGCATCCTGCTTCTCTAGACCTCATTTGTATGATCACACAGAGTATGATATAATTTTTCAATTTATTTTTGTCAACTAAAAAAAATATGGCCTCTTTATACGTTTGCCTTTAGGCCGCCAAACTTATTGAGATTACCCTGCTTAAGGGCTCTTTTGGTTACAACACAAGAAACAAGTTATCCATATTAATTTCCATGTAACATATACAATGTTTAGTAGATATATAGGAAATAAGTCATTCATGAATAAAATTAATACAACATCAGGTTGACAATTTTAAAACCCGCATAAATAATACATGTATAAGTTATTACGGAATTTAAGTATTTCTGTTATGTAGAATAGAATGTAGAATTTCTAATACATGTTTAACTTATCTCTTCTTACGTAATATCTGCATAAATAATATATAAATTTACTCATAATTAATCTCTACATTACTGCATGTGCATACTCTAACCAATTACGAAACATCCCCTTAGTACCGTTTAACAAATTTAAAAGAAAAGCTGAAGGTACTACCAATCTTAAATTATACTCCTTTCGAAATGATATTAGTCCAGAATTAATGATATGTCAATGACTAGAATGGAATTATCTTATGAAAATTATTATGAGATTAGACATTATTTTGTGAAATTGGGGCTAAGCCATTAGTGTTGGCTATGCGGCTCTACTTACACTATCATGTTTATATTCATTTTGATTATTATATTCTGAGATATGAATAATCTGTTAGTTTTTAAAAATCCAGTTTAGAAATTAAAGTTATGTAAGAAATAAAATGTCTATATGTTATGTTTGTCCTAGTCTTTAGAAAGTAATTTAAACGTGGTAACCTTTCAAGTTTTAGGATTGTAGTTCCTATTTTAGCTTCAAGTTGTTTTAGCATATAAAAAATTGTATTGGCAGCTCTTTAAGTCATTCAGTCAAAAATAACTCCTTCAATAATATTTCCTTTCTCTTTTATATCGTCTTTCAACTTACATATATATTTCTAGATTCTATTTTTCTATCACTGGTATCACCGCCAGGTTAGTTTATAAAAAGAAAAATAGAGAAATTTACATTAATTTAATGACTTGAGAGAGCAATTACGTGCAAGCAGCTATTCCACATTTTGATGGTCACTATGACTATTAGAGCATGCTAATCCAAAACTTTTTTAGGTCAAAGGATTATTGGCCAATTGTGGAGGTTAGTATTAGTGCTTTGGCCGAAGGCGAAACCTTGATGAATTCTCAAACAACGGAGTTTGAAGCAAGAAAGCTAAAAGAGTTGAAGGCGAAAAATACCTTTTTCAGTCTAACAAACGTCCAATCTTAGAAACTATTGTGTGCAAAGAAACTTCTAAAGATATATGGACACCACAAAAAAGAAATATCAAGGCACTGCTAGAGTGAAGCGTACACATCTTGAAGCCTTAAGAAGGAATTTTGAGACCTTGCAGATGAAGAAAGGAGAGTCTGTAATAAGTTATTGCGCTAGAACAATGGAGATTAGCAACAAAATGCGATTCCATGAAGAGAAGATGAACAATATCACAATTGTTGAAAAGATATTACGCTCTTTGATGCTGAAGTATGATTATGTTGTTTGCTCCATTGAGGAGTCCAAAGATATAGACGAGTTATCGCTTGACGAATTGCAAAGCTCTTTATTGGTGGACGAGTAGAAGATAAATCGAAATTCAACTTCTGATGAGCAAGCCTTGAAGGCCTCTACTTTTATTTCTTCCAATTATAGAGGAATGGGTAGAGGGAGAGGGAGAGCGAGAGGGAGAGGAGATTAAGGAAATAGAGATGGAGGCAACAAATATGGCAATGGAAATTTTAGAGCCAATGATGACTACGACAAAGGTAAAGGGAGAGAATTTGACAAATCCAATATAGAATGTTATCGTTGCTTCAAATTTTGTCATTATCATTCTGAATGTCGTATAAGGTTTCTTAATGAGAAGGAAGAAAAAACAAATTTTGTTGAGAATAAGAAAGGAGAAACCTTGTTAATGGCGGTTCATGCTGAAAACGAGCCCGAAGGGCAAACTATTTGGCATGTGGAATTGGCTGTTGTAACCACATGACTGGAAGTAAGTCTTCTTTTACTTTGAATGAAAACTTCCGGTCAACAGTTAGTTTTGGTGATCTTTCAACAGTAAATGTGATGGAAAAGGGTAATATCGATATTAGAACAAAAAATGGGTGTGTTGAAATCATATGTAATGTGTTCTATGTTTTTTCTTTGAAAAGTCATTTGTTAAGTGCCGGTCAACTATTAGAAAAGGTATATGCGATCATCTTAAGGAATTATATATGTAAATTTTCTGATCCTTCCAAAGGAATTATTGGTATTGTGAAAATGAGTTAAAACAGGTTGTTCCCTTTAGAGATTGAAAATATCCAATCTTGCTCTATGGTAGAAGTGAAAAAACCTTCATGGTTATGGCATTTTTGATATGGTCACTTGAACTTTGGTGTCTTGAAGATCCTTTAAAGGAAGAGTATGGTGACGGGGCTACCTGAATTGTTGTTCCCTCCCAAGTTTGTGAAGAATGCGTTTTTTGCAAACAACATCGTTCTCAGTTACCCAAAAGTATGTCTTGGAGAGCCAAAGAGGTATTGGGGTTGGTACACTCGGATATTTGTGGGCCAATAACACCAATCTCGAATGAAGGCAAAAGGTATTTTATTATGTTTACTGATGATTATTCTAGGAAGACTTGGGTATATATTCTGCAAAAGAAGTCGGAGGCTTTTAATATATTTAAAAGCTTCAAAGCTCGTGTGGAGAATGAGACTAGAAGGACCATTAAGAACCTTCAGATAGATCGCGGAGAAGAATATTGCTCTAAGGTATTTGATTTTTTCTGTGAGACTCATGGCATTAGTAAATATCTCACAACAGCCTATACACCAAAGCAAAACGGTGTGGCAGAGAGAAAGAATGGAATCATTCTCAATATGGTTCGTAGCTTGCTGTCTCAAGGAAGAGTTCCAAAGGAATTTTGGCAGGAAGCAGTAAATTGGAGCATTTATGTCTTAAACAGTAGTCCCACTTATTCTGTTCGAGATATGACACTTGAGGAGGCTTGGAGTTGAAGGAAACCGGTAGTAGATCACTTTAATGTTTTTGTTTCCATTGCTTATGCTCATTTTCTAGAAGCGTAAAGAATGAAGATTGATGATAGAGGTGAGAAATGTGTTTTTCTTGGTGTTAGCAAGGCATCCAAGGCATACAAGTTATTCAATCCATTGACAAAGAAGGTTGTGACCAGAGAGATGTAGTTTTTGATGAGGAGAACACTTGGGATTGGAATATACCTCAATATACTCCAATCTTAATTAATAATGAAGTTGAAGAAGCAGTTGCAACACCCAAAATTTCTACTGAAGCAGCTGATGAAACTTCACCATCAGACTTGGAAGAAACTACTGCAACAAATCAGCCTCTTCGTCGTGCTCGTAGAAGGCCCGCGTGGATAATGGATTATAAGGTAAGAAGGAATTAATGTAAATGAAAATGTTTCCAACTTTGCATTGTTTTCAGACTGTGATCCTACAATTTTTTAGAATGCAGTCAAAGAGGAAAAATGGAGGAAAGTTATGAATGATGAGATTGATACTATTGAAAGAAACAACACCTGGGAGTTAACAAATATTCCGAAGGGGCAAAACACCATAGGTGTCAAATGGGTCTATAAGATGAAACTAAAAGAATATGGTGAAATATACAAGTATAAGGCGCGATTGGTGGCTAAGGGATAAAAGCAAGAACATGGTGTGGACTACACAAAGTATTTGCTCCAGTTGCAAGGCATGAAACAACCAGAATGATAATTACCGTGGCGACACAAAATTTGTGGCCTATCTTTCAATTGGATGTCAAATCATCTTTCCTAAATGGATATTCACTAATTCGAGTTGACAACCTGGGTAAGTATTTGAGAACAAGATCAAGTTGAGTTTAAAATTGAGGTAACAGAAACATTAAGCTTCTAGTGCTTGCTTTTAAAATTCCTTTTAAAACATATTTTTCTGCATGGGTTGGGACGAACGTGTGCTTGGGTGAATTAGTGGACTTTAGGGCCAAACACATATATTTTTCTTTCAGGGATACTTAGGACTCCGTTGATAAAAAATTTTTGTGATCTCAGACGAGAGTGAGCCATGAGATTGGGACATTTGTATGATTCTTGACGGCATTGTGAATTGTTATGGTTGTTGGAAGTACTGAGCATTGTGTATGCTTCTACATATATTTTGCTCATCGTATATGTTGTCGTGGACTTTGGTGTTGATTAATTGCTTTAACTGCCTTTTATGGAAATTCTTAGTGCAAATTGTCTTTAAAAATATTGTGTTTTTTATAACAGTAGTTTGAAAATTCTTGGATATTATTTTTAGATATAAAACCTATGAAAATAATTTTTATACTCGTAGTGTGTTTGTATTCTCCAACACTTAATGCAAGGGTGTATTAAAGGAGCAGGTCAAGGATTTCATGGTTATATTTATGTATAACTCACGAATTACATTCATGTCCATGTAGATACTAATGGTGATGACGAAGCTAGCAGTTGATGAGATTACTAGAGTTGATCCACAGTTGTTGAGGTGAACAAATGCATTTCTCATGGGGGCCTTCAAAAGACTCATTATTATATAGGGAAATGCACAAGTATCCCCTAGACAATGACCGAAATTCCAAAAATACACATTAACTATTCTAAGGTCATATTACCCCAAAGAACTTACTTTTTGTTTGTAATTTGGTGCACCTTTTTGGCTTAAGTGACACCAAATATCTTCCACACGCCTCAATTATGTGGAGTCACGGCTTGTTCCAAGTAAGACAAAAGGTGTATAAAATTACAAAAAAAATAAATTCAGGAAGGAAATAGAACCTTAGTTTAGTGAAGGTGTGTCTCAGAGATTTTGATCATAATGTAGGGGGTACTTGTGGCATTTCCCTTATTAATATTCCGAGTCCTTTTTGTGGTTCCTTTTTGTAAGTCTTGGTTTAGAGTGGGATTTGGTCAAGAGTGTTAGATTCATACATTGAGATACTGAGTGTTCATAATAATTTATCATATTGTTTGAAGACTTATTTAATTTGGCAAATGTTGTGAATTAATGGTTAAGGTATGTAAATTGGGTTTACACGTCAGGTGGTGTGTGTTTGCTGCTAATTAGTAGTAAACACTTGTGCAACTAACTCCCTAATTAGTAGAACTTTAAAATTTACTCTGGAAATGGTAAAATTTTCAAAATACATGCTCCAAAGAGTAAACCTACCAAATTTTCTTCTAAAGAGAAAATAATTTGAAAACTATATGAGAAATACTCTGAAGCAATGTCTACTTAGAAAATTAATGAGATGAATTTTGTATTTCAAGCACATTCAAGTAATCATATTTCATTCTCCGAAGTGAATGAATGAAATACCACAAATTCTCTTGAAAATAAAAATAATAAAGGATGTACATGTCATTTTTATGAATTGAAATTCATTGTAATATGTACATGTCGTACATAGATACATCTTGATTAACATTATTGAAGTATCAATATAAGGCGGAAGAAAATAAATCTTGTGAAATGATTTCGACAGTATGATTTATTAATTTCCTTTAAGGAGTATAGATTTTCCTAAAGGAAGTGTAACCTATATAAAATTATTGCTTTGATAAAAAGTATTTGATGTTAATCATGAACAATTTTTTAAACTGAAAATTGTGCATATTAACTATTGAACATATATTGAATAACTAACAGATTCTTAGAAATTTTTTATTGTTTGATTAGACCAACTGATATATCAACCAAATCTCTAAAAACTATAAAAAGTGAATATGGACATGTGATATCTTCAACAGATGCATACATATATAAGATGATCTCATGTGCATTTATTGTCAATGTGCATTTTGACATTCACAAAGTTGTTTGTTCCTGTTAAGAGCATAATTTAAAAATTGAGTAATCAACACAATTCATCCTAATAAAAGATCTCTAAGATAGTTTGACACTTAAATCCACTAATAAATACTTGAATCATTGCTGATGAGAATAAAAATTTGTGTTGGTCATTGACAGAATATATTGTATACAACAACGCTTCTATGAATCAAACAAACAAATTAATACTACGCTGTGATTGATAAGAAGGAAACCACTTTTCAAAAAATATTATTCAATTTTTCTATGTTTGGTTGGTCATAATGCTTGGAAAATTTATTTTCTAGAACAACAAGTTTCCTTTAAAATGAGGACAATAACTTCTCTAATGATTCCATCACCCCCTAGTTTGCTCACTACTCATAATTTGTTTAAGGTCAGAAATAAATAATTTTTCATCTAGTAGATTAAGATATGCGGTATATAATTAAAATATCTACCATCATTCACAACATAAGAAACAAAGAAATATGTTGTGAATTATCTTTAGTACGATACTCATTCAAAAGACAATTGAAGTCAAATTCTACAAGAATTTGTTGACCCAAAAATAGTCTCATATTTAAATTTCAAATGCTCCTATTAAATATCTTAGAGGGAAAAACTCTACAACATACGTAAAGCATGATTAAAAAGTCGATTCCAATTGCGATAATTGTTAGAAAGAGAAAAAATATCATAATTAGTAGACAATGTAATCTTTATGAGCCTACGACTT